TCTGGCGTCATATCCCGGGGGGGGGTTAAGAGAACAGATGAGAGGCTTCCATGACTTGCTGACTTGCTTGCGGATTTCTTATTTTTTCCTTCTACCCTGAAGATGGAGGCGATACGTTCCTCCGAAACGTCGGTTAACACCACATATATATGGTGCCAAATCCTAGAAGACTGCTTTCTTCAACACTTTTAGTGTTTCTGAAAACTTACAAAACCTGTTACTACTTTAGGTAAATGTGTATCAGAGTAAAATTCCTTCAAATGTAACATATACATGTGTCATCTGGAACTGACAGCAAATATCTTGAATCCTGTGGACTTTTCAACTGTAGCCAATAGTATTTAAATATTTTATGAAAGCTGAAATTTCCTAGTGTGAGGACTGATATGCATGAAGTTATAAATAATAACATAATTCTGAATTCTGGGGCATTTGGACATCGCTTCTGTGCCAGTCATGGACTTGATACATGGCAATTGTAGGACGGAAACGAGAAAAAATTTACAGAGCATTGTGCCTTAGTGAAAGAGAAAGTGAAATATTTCTGAAACCATATGGTTACTACGAGGGTCGTACTGAAAGTCATGAGCAACAATTTTTTGTAAAGTAACATGCTTTATTATTCACAAACCAAATACACCACCTCAATCTACAGACCTTTCTTTATTTTTGTAACCGCCACTTCTTTGTACACATTTCTCCCAGGGTTCTGGGAGTTTGAAAGTTCCCCTTCTGTAAAATTCCTTTCCAGCCATCCGAAGACACTGACGCACTGCTTTCTGAATTGCCTCCCTTGTCTCAAAACGTTGTCCACGCAGCTAATCCTTCACAAATCCAAAAAGATGGTAGTCGGAGGGTGCCAGATCAGGGCTATAGGAGGGTATGGAAGAACATCCCACCCCATCTTTGCAATTGCTTCCCATGTGAGGCGAGCGGCGTGGGGGAAAACTTGTCATGCAGGATGATGATGTTTCGTCCCAGACGTTTATCGTGCAATGCATGATGGAGCTTGTGCAGCGTCTGGACATAACAAGCAGCATTGATGGTTTGTCCAGGTTCCAGGAATTCGGCCAGAATAAACCCCTCTGCATCCCAGAAGACTGGGTCCATCACCTTCACAGCTGATGGCACTGTCTTTGCCTTCTTTTTTTGATGGAGAATGCAAATGGTGCCATTCCATACTCGGCCGTTTCATTTCAGGCTCGAAATGGTGAAACCAGCTTTCGTCATCTGTTACAATACAGAGCAAAAAATCATCACCTTTGTGTCGATATCTCTGCAGCAGTTCTGAGGTGATGGCTTTTCGCTGACCTTTGTGGTCTGCGGTCAATAAACGCAGGACCCAACAAGCACAAACTTTCCTATAGCCCAAGCTTTCAATCATCTCCTCTTCTGCACTGTGCCCTATTCCAAGTTTTATCAGGCTATTGTGTCCACAGTCACATGCCTGCCATCTTGAATGATCTCATCCACTCTTTCTTTGTTGCGTTCAGTTGAGGCTGTTCGAGGACGACCTCTCCGAGGCTCATCTTCGATGCTGGTGTTCCCAGCTTTAAAATGTTTCACCAATTTTTGAACACTGCTCACACCCATGCACACACTTCCATAAGCACACTGAAGTCTCTGGTGAATGTCTGCAGCAGGGATTTCCTCTTTCACAAGAAATTCGATGACAGCACGCTGGCAAAACGACATATTGTTGTTGGACATTTTTTTAGGAGTGATACTGGTCACGTGATGCAAGCTATTGATATCACAACACACTCAAGTTTAACAAAACAGCTGGTTTCGCCTACCACCATACTCTCTTTCATCTGCTGTTCCCAAGTTGCATGCAAAAAAAAGTTGCTCATGACTTTCGGTATGACCTACGTATTTTAAAAATATTCATTAGAACCGTTTTATAAACTGTTCAGTAAACTACCGCAAGCATGACTGAATTGACATTCTTTCAATCATATTACATACAAGTAACTTCCATTCATCTATAAATAAAATACCATAACAATGAATTATGCATTCCGAATATTCCCATACTAATTGATTACCTCTCAAAACTCACAAAACACTCCATGCCTCTTGAAAGTGACCATGAGATCCCATTTCTTTTTCCAATTGAGCGGATGGTCATATGGTGACACTTTACCTGACTTGTCTGTACTGGTCGCCTGTCCCACAACCCCTGTTCCTGTCAGCCAGTATGAGCTGACACTCACTCCATCCTCCTGCCACCCAATGGAATGACTCACATGATTGGCTGCATATTTTGTGCTCCATCAGTAATCCACAAGGGCGCCCACCATTCAAAGAAGGCTGCACAACCTGCCACAACAAATCATAACACAAAATTTTCATGAGCTGCATTGTGCCAGCGTCTTTTTAACAGTGTTTATAGATATATAGATATAACTATCCATCACATAAACAAATGATAACAATACTTATACCACTCTGGTATCTTTTATTATACAACTACAATATTTTTTCTAATAAACCCCCATGAGGTGAACAGTCAGTATACACATTTTAAGGTTCACAGCTGTCATACAATAGATCAATTGACACTACCTAGTGTTAGAACAATCACTAAATTTTCAGTGCATTAGAAGCACAGTCCAATTGGTGGTCATTTAATAGCACTCAAGATTAAGAATAAGGAGACATATTTAATAGTTGTAGGGCGATGGGGTGAAATCAGAAGCTTTTTAGAAATGTCAATTTTGGTGTAATTTGAATGTTTGTACAATATCAAGGTATTTTCCTGATGAATGTAGATGACAGTACCTCCAGTGGGTACATGTTCATTAATTAAACACTGTATCTTTGCATCCTGTCACAGTTGATAATAGAATTTATTTTCAGTTGTTTACCATCCACCATGTACCAACATCATGATTTTAAAATCCAACCCTTTTTAAAATTCTTCACTGCACTAAAAGTACATTTCAGCTTACTTGGCTAGCATCAGGGGTGTTGAAACTCAGGTGAATTGCATTACTTTTCACATTACTGTGATTAATATTAAAATGTTTTTAAATTAAATCACTGTAGTTCCTTCTTCTATTCCATATGTATTGTCCTTTTTGGTATGCCTGTTGCCTATCAAGTGTGCAGTGTAATGTTATCATAGACAACAGGCATACTAAAAAAGATAATACATGTGGCACAGAAGGAGAAACTACATTGACTTCATTTAAAAGCATTGTACATATGAAAACATGGATTGCAGTACTATGGCAGACACAGCAGTTCCTTGAAGTTTCAATGCACCTGATGATGGCTGAGTAGGCTGAAACAGGTAATGCAGCAGTGAATTTTAAAATCTTGAGATTGTTGCATGGTGGACAGTAAACAACTGAAAATAAATTCTATAATTAAACACTTGTTCAACTGGTTTGTTATCAGAGCAGTGCCTTTCTTCATAGATATGTTTTGAAAGATGTGTGTTCTTGTTAGCTGAGTCTAAACTGAATTGAGTGTGGATGACTAATGTCATGAGCATTTTAACCTTTGCCATTCTTCTGATCTGGAAAAAATACACATTTTATAATATTATATTTAATCATCCTGTTGCACTCCATACGATAAATGATATAATGATACAAATGCCGTCCCAAGTGCAAACAATATATTATGTGTCCTTGATCTTGCTCCTCTACACTACATGTTTCGGCCTCAGACGGCCATCATCAGGTGTATAACACTCACGTTGCTGTCACACTGCACCCAGTCCATAACATTTAAAACACTTTCCTTGTTATTATCAACATCTACTTCGTTGATATCTCTCTGGTTTGTAGATTATTTTACACACGTTAATTTTGACGTTCCTGTAGTAGCACTATAAAATTTTTAGTTCTAATTTTAAAATCCTTTAAAATTTTTCTCTAAATTTTAAATTTAAAATTGTTAGGGTTACTCTCCCTATGTCTAAAGTGCTGCAGCGGCTAGTTCTTGTTTCCACACTGTATAGGTGTTATCTGTAATATATAAATATATTCGTATTATTATCCTGTGTACGTAATGTTTTCTTATGTGTTTATATTGTTATTTGTACTTACCCTGTGTAGTCTTCCTGTGTAGGATTTTAAAATTAGAACTAAAAATTTTATAGTGCTACTACAGGAACGTCAAAATTAACGTGTGTAAAATAATCTACAAACCAGACAGTATCAACAAAGTAGATGTTGATAATAATAAGGAAAGTGTTTTAAATGTTAAATTTTGGGCTGGGTGCAGTGTGACAGCAACGTGAGTGTTATACACCTGATGATGGCCGTCTGAGGACGAAACATGTAGTGTAGAGGAGCAAGATCAAGGACACATAATATATTGTTTGCACTTGGGATGGAATTTGTATCATTATATCATTTACACGTTTTATATTTTAACCTTTTACAACAGAGGAATAAGAAACACATCTAAGTAATTCTAGCTCCTCTTATTTCATTACATCAACCTAAAATTAAGAATATTTCTCTATTCTTAATCTTGATTGTCATCTTAGGACAATCTATTGCATAGTGCTCTTAATGAATTGTAAATTTAATTATGGATACAACACTACATAGTGTTAACTTATCTACTGTAGGATAGCTGTGTATCTATGTGGTAATCACCCATTTGATGCTGGTGGACTAGAGCTGAAACCTGTAGTGGGATAATAAAAAAACTAACAAAGAATAAAGCATTGTTGTCACTTGTCTTTACGAGGAATATATATATTTGTAATTTCTTTTAACAAAAATAAATGTTTCAATATATGAAGTGTCCAATTACTTCTGGTAGGGGACTCCAAACAGTTTTAAAAGCTGAAACAGGAAATATTGTTCTAAAATCCTTCAATATTAAATATCTAGTACAATTATGATTTCCTTTGAAGCCTAAACAGATAAAATTCAATTCTGTAACAAGATGATATACTGAGATTATGGTCTGCTGGGATGTTAAGTAATCAGGCTTGGTAGGAAAGTACCAATGTTGCAGAGGAACCTGCTGCCTCCATCTTCAGTGTGGAAGAGCACAATAGCCTCCTACACTGAAGATGGAGATAGGTTCGTCCAAAACACAGTGTCAATACCAAAAGTCCAAAATCTTAATATTCACTGCCATGTGGTTTTTTGTTGATTCCAGTACAATATTTCCTGAGATACAGATGTTATTATGAAAACCTACATAAAAAATGCAATTCATGCATTCTACACTGGGTCTTTAAATCTGTACGACAAGGCTTAAGGAAACAAGGATGTTATACATTCAGCTCACATGTCTGCTTCTATTTTGCAATCCTGGTCCACAGATGGCACTGCAATCACCCCAAGCAGTCCACTCACTAAGGTGGCAGTCACTTGGACACGAAATCAGACAAGGTTCTTCCTCGAGTCCTGAATCCCCTCCACACAGACTGCAATATAATTCATGTTTCATATAATTTTTTTTTGGGGGGGGGGATACCTTCACAATTGTCTCTCCTTCATGATCAACGCCTTCAGAAAAGTGCATTAGATGGAAAGTATACAAAGACAGAAAGAAATGTTCCATGCAAATATTTGAACTTCTAATTTCTATAATTAAACTATATTACAAAAACTGATATAGCTCAGTGGGAGAAGACAAAACCTTGTTCCTGCATATTGGCAGAAACATGGGAAACCTGCTATATCATCAACTGTTTTGGATTACTTCAGAAACAGATCACTCGTAGAGACTCTTTTATGTCTTACTCTGGTCACAATTACATTACTACATAAATTATCACTAGAATTAGTAGCACTCTCATGACAGTCAGATAAAAAATCAGCATACAATTCACTCACAGGACCACACTGCAACTAAGGAGATTATGAATACAATTACCTCCATTCTGCACCGTAATTAAAACCAATGTGGATTTATAGGCTTGTAAGCATGGTTAATCAAATACAAATGACATTACACAAAGTGCCAACATTCAACTAAGATTATCTTTCATACAGAACTATTAGGCTTATTTTGGACTCTATCCTTTGTCTGGTATATAGAAAACAAAAACCACAGTGTTTAGGAGACTGGACCTGTCTCCGTCAACCTATTCAGTTGGGCCCGTTAAAAAGAGCTAGTCTCAAACACTGGATGATCCAGTGAGACAGATCCAGTCTCCGAAATGTTGTGGTTTTTGCCTTCTATATACCAAATGATGGACAGAGTCCAGAATAAGCCTGATAGTGCTGTAGAGCATACAGCATTGTCAGAATCCTTTCAAGTCTATTATCTTTCATGTTTGGACCATACATTTAGACATCCTTTAACATGCAAACAATGGCTGATATCAAAGAAAAGTATTTCATCTTAAAAAATGCAATAATTTTCATGACCAGTACAACACAAATAGCGCAGGAATCATGAGACTTCTCATTAGCTAGCAATGTGACAAATACAACTAAGGCCAGAATAATTATAGTGTAATGAAATGACAAGTGACAATTTTTTAGAGAATCCACATGTAAAGGTAAAAAAAAAAGGGTAAAGTTTTCTCTTTGCTTTACTAATCAAGCACCGCACCATGAAGACACATCAGGGAGTGGAGATACAGCATCACCATTCTTTATTTCAGCATTAGATGCACGTGAGTGGACAGCTTCATCCAGAGGCTTCTTCACCCTTGGCGAAACTGTCCACAGTACCCATTGGATAGGAGGCTGGGTGGGCCCAGTGGCGGTCTGGACAATATGGAGAAGAGAAAAAATCCTGACCCTACAAGGAATCAAACCCCAGCCATCCAACCCATAGCTCGTGAATCCATATAAGTAATTGTTAAATAAACCCAGTGCTTTTCTTTCAGTCAGTATGCACATTACACATACTGGCAAACTGTCAATAGTCATGTATCTGCCAGTGCATAGTATGTACTTCCCTTGAGGTCAAAACAAAACATGGGATTACCAGAAAATATATTTTTTTAACATAATTGCTCAATATACATAAAACAAACACAAATGTACTATAATAAAACAACCAGTGACAAAAATTTTAGAGGACTCATATGCAATGTATCTACATGCTACTATCCATCCATTCATCCATCCCTTTGTCCATTTAATCATCCACACTGCTATCCAAACTGACAAACACCTTGGCTCCACCAGATTCCCATCAGCATCCAAGCACTCTATGCGTCTGAACCTTGAGCCAGTTCCACATACACCAAGAGCAACTCGACCATTTGCAGAAACTGAAGTTGACACTCCATCACCCTCCAGTATGCAGTCTGACCAGGGTCCAGTGGGCTGCAGAGTGTAACGAGCACATGGACAGGGTTGGGTCTCTACTAGGGGGAATAGCCCAGCATCTTTGCATGCAGCTCGTGTTCCTGAGAGTCCTACAAACACAATGTCAGAACTGTTCTCATTATGTACTTGAAAAATGCGAAGGGAACTGTTCCAGCTGTGCTTAGATACTTTATAGTTTTTCCATTCAATGTATGAAATGTTCTGTCCCTCTGCCTATCAGTAGATATTCATCACTGAAATCACTTAAACAATGTTTGCTACACTGAAAGTAAGGCTGCTTTGGGGATGCAGTGGAAAACACAAAACTGAGGGAAATGTTAAATGAAGGAATATTCACATTCAGATTACTGATTTATGATCACTGAAAGTAAATGTTAAATGATGCAAGACCTTAAAATGAGGAACATTAAATGGAGATTTTAGTGTACTATTGTATAGTTGGTTACATTATAATTTGTAAAGCAAAGTCATTATATTTGACATACATTTCAAATCAAACATTTTATATCACTCATTTACTTAGTTCCTTCTATGAAGCAAATGCAATGTTTTATTTTAAAACGTAATTTACAATTACATTTAAAATTCATAATATGTCATGAATATCACATTTCCTGTTTATTTGCTGCAAAATGTTTCGGCCTCACAAGGCCATCATCAGGCAACCATTAATTGGTCAAAATCACTGCACTGCATGTGTTTGCATTATAGAAAGAAGTAAGTGATTGCTGAAATATAAAATTATGAAACATTATATAAATTCTTAGAAATTGCTCAATGTAGAAAAGTAAAAGGTGACGCGAAAAACAAAGAGTAAACCAGAGTAACAAAAACAGTGAAACTAACTTTGGAAAGTGGCACTCACCGATTAGCTGCCTTGTTCTTGTACGAGTAGTACATGCCTGGGTGCATGATGTCCATTCTGTCCACTGAGACAGTACACATGGCCATTGGCAATCTACAAAACAGGGCTCTGACTGGCTAGGAGCGGTCCCATTGCTTCGCTCCAAGCAGAGACTGGGTTCCACCTTAACACTTTGATGGTTCTTGTAGCACCACACAGCTGATAAAAAATTGAGGCTTGCCACATTACAAAATTACTTTAGTTGTCTTCTGAGTTTCTATTTTCTCAGACACGTAGTTAGGGAAAATACTGTCATTATAAAATGCATCACTCTTGGGATTTTAATGGGAAAATATACAGTATATTAGCTTCCTCAGAATTCAAAGAAATGGTTCAGAACAGGAGTCAAAAAATATGTCAAAATCTAATAGGAAGAAAAATATTTTGGTTTCCAGAAATAGGCAGACAAGTGTTTTCTGGCACATTGTTGTAGCTCTTGCCTCTTATGAATGTGCAATATTATTTCTCCCTACTAACATACTGCTTGTCCTAAACGTTTGCAATTGCAGTATAACATGTGACATAATGAGATTAATTTAAAAGAGAAATTAATTGCTGTAACTTACCAATTGTTGATTTTAACTATGGATTGACATTTTCTCTATGAAAGTGACTGAACGAGTTTGCCAGAAATAAGGAAGGCCACTCCCAAACACCATGTCTGAAATTAGCCACCAGGCAACTGTAATTTTTTACTCCTGTTTTAGGATACTATCTACCTCTTTCTCTGTCTATGCATTCATCTAGAAAGGATATTCTTCACACTAATTCACTGATTCTTAACTAATGGCCTAAAACCCCATGGGAGTCATGGGTGGATTACACAAATGTTTTTTATCACTTAGGATTTTAGGTTCTCGGTTATAAATAGGTCAGTCCTCTGGAGTATAATGCCAATATTCTGTTGATAATTGATCGATGATTCAGAGGAACATATCATATCCATCTTTATGGTTGAAGAATAAGGAAGCAAGAAACCAGCATGGTTTTTCTCGCTGCCTACTTCATGCTGGTTTCTTGCGTGGCTTACTCTTCAACCTGGATGATGGAGGTGACATGTTCCTCTGATACACAAGGTGAATTTAAATGGACTCTGCATTGTTATATCTCATAGGCATAGATGCTCATGTTTTATACAATTCTAAGTTTTCCCCTCCTCCAATATAGAGACTGAGATGGTCTTTTACAGCTTCTTTTGAGCAAAGGGGGCTGCAGACTGTTGCAGAAATCAATCTGCTCTAAAGAACGGGTCACCAGAGAATAAATTTTTGAAACACTGCACTAGTTACCTATAAACGTTTGCATCACACACAGCTACTCTAAGAAGTACACAATGGTTTAAAAACTACAAAGATTTTGAACTAGTTTAATTAATTGTTGTGCTGTATTCTTATCTCTTACAGTTTAATCATTGTTTCTATATGTCAATTAGTTCATGAAGCTGTTAGATCACCAAATTTGCGAAGTTCTCTAATCTATCTTGAAGCTAATTAACCTATAAAAAATCCTGCATTTACTTATTACACCATCTCCATAAAATTGCTGAAGGATTCTGTAAATATTGGTGGCATTTTTCTTGAATTGGTGGTACTCTGATCCTCTCTTCTACTAATTTATCTCCCATGTTGCTTCCAAATAAAGCATTGTACTTACTGCACTTCAAAACAAACTGACTCTCAGTGACTGTCTGTCACAAAACTGAAAATCAGTAGTCACATGTTAACTGACCAGTGCTGTCCATTGACATATTGGTTATTAATTGTCAGACCATACGTGTACATCTGCATGTCTAGCCACTCAGCTCTGCTTACCACGTGTACGATAGCCCATTCCACACTCCACTGTTGCTGGAAGTTGACAATCTGACCAAGGACCTTCTCCCCATAAATAGTGACGACAGCGGGCACCAGACAGAGGACATGGGCGTAGCTCTTCCAAAACTGGACAACTTGCCCCACCACCAGAAGGCCACCGAAGCACCACCCGATGTCGTGACTGTGTTGGGGCCACCTCTCCCTCTCGCACCTCACTACTTGCATCTTTGAGAACACAAGAGTTATAATATTTATTTACATTTATCAATAACTTCTACATACTGCCAACATTTACTGTCTCAATATTAATACAGAAACTTTTAATTTTCTGTAATTAAGCTTCTGATTTTAAAGGTATGTCTTAGCAGTTGAGACTCCTTCCTGCACTAGTCTCCAAAGCCTTTATAGATTTAAGAAATGCCACATAAGCGGTGCTAAATTTAAATTTAAATTCAGCTTTCATTAGATATGAAAATGATATTTTCCCCTACCTTGGCATACACATGCTCTTCATAGTTTACAATCACATGTGTAAGCCATGATAGCTCAGTCAGTAAAGTCACTGGCCACAGGCCAGAAGATCAGGCTTCAAATCCTGCAGATGCAAAGTCTTTTCTCTTTGCCACCACATCCAGACCAACTCTGAAGACTAGCTGGCCTCCTGCCTAATGGGCACTGAATGTCTTTTTCCTGTATATGCCATCTTGATAAGAACTTCACAGAAGTCTTCAGTAGTAATATCCCTGCATTTATTTTATTTAGTGATAGCTATAGAAAGTACTGAAAAAAGACTTCATTTTATTTATTTAATAAATATTGTCATGTAGTAATTGGATGAAAGGAGATATGAATTTCAACCTGCAATTGCATAGTTTTATTGAATAACCAATGATATCAAAATGTCATGGGTGTCTTAAACAGGAATGAACATGCATGTATCCTACCTGAATTTAAGAAAATGTGGATGTACTATATACTCTTTTCAGCCATTTCCACTACATGTAAATATATGACTACAGTCATCAAGGGAGAAAGCATGCATTTTTACCATTACAGTAGCTGTCTAGTTAACCTCTGTCACACTCTGCTAGAGACTGGCAAGACACCAATAGACGTGGTACATTATGACACTTTCCGCTCACCTGGCACACATTGCTGGGGACAGGCTGACCACTCTGACCATGGAGACACATGACAATCCACAGGGCAGACCTGCCAACATTCACGATTTGAGACTGGTCTCTGGAGTGGGTGACAACTGGAACACAATCACGTAACATGTTGGAAATGTATCCATTGTTGCACAACTAGACACACAACTATGATACACACTGTCACTCACTTGGAATCTGGCACTCGCTTATCATGTGCCTCCATGCACCACACCTCTCGCTCCTGCACGCCAGCTCCACAGTTACCGTTTCCATTGCTGCTGTTGCCATAGTCATCCAGTTCTGTAAACATTATTGCTAAGTCTTTTCACAGTTTCAGAATTACAAAAAATAAACAATTTGGTTGTCTAACATTAGTGAGTAGGGCAGAAATTTCCAATAATGAATCTTAGTCAATTAATATTATATAGTGTATGATATAAAATTAAAACTTTATAAGCATTTATCCTTTGTTTTGCTGTCATATTTTGATGTCAGAAAATATACAATATTATATAATAACATAACACAGTGGCACCAAGTAAAAGATTACTGCCCACTGAGAAAGAAAGACTTTAGTAACTCAATCTAAATTAATGTAACAGTTCTTAAGGGAACACCCTGGCATATATTGGGAGTTTTAGACCATAAACTAGTGGATTAGATTATGGTAAGAGAAACAAGTTGGTCAGATATGGAAATAAAAATAGCTATATAAATATAATGCTATGCCATAGCTATATAGCTATATAATTAGCAGTCTTCTAAAAATTATTATGTAGCATGGCATTACGTTCCATTATTTTTGTAAGGTGAAAAAGGGGTAAAGAGACTGTAATCATAAAAGCTGACTTCCATCAATTAAGTAGCCATCATGTATTAACATTAACTGGCATCACAAAACACGACAAGTTGCAGGCTTTCTATAATAGAACCATAACCGTTAACACTTTACCTGGGTAAATCTGTACATCACAAATAATATGGCAGGGATCTCTAGGAATAAAACAGGGATGTGATGAAGACAATGACTAGCTGAGGAGACCCACATCTTGGCTTGCACTCAGAAGGATGGTGAGGGTCTCCTATTCTCTGTATTCACAAAGGGGTGGGTAGAAAATGTGACATTATGTAAAATTTTAATAGGTAAAGATTAAAGTGCCCCACCAATGGTATCTCCACCTTATCGTGGTGGTGGGATTTGAGAGCTCCTGAGATCCTGGGAGCTATGCTGGCGGTAGCATAGCTACTGGTAGAGCCACCCATGCCAGACAGGTCAAGGGGTAGGAGCCAGGCAGAGAGGGATACCCTGGTCCTCCAGGTTGGGGGTTGGGCGTGAGACTAACGACCTCACACTGTAAAAACTAAATTGATCAGAAATCCGAGGAAAGAGTAGCCAGACGGACCTATTCAAGACGACCTGGAAAATGTTTAAAGGATTTGAGAATTGGATCTTGGTATGTATTATCTCTTTACAGAGCCAGAGCACTAAAAATGCTACTTGAACAACTAGATAGCTATAAACTAGATATCACTGCTCTACAAGAACTGAGGTGGTTGGGTAAAGGAGTCATGGAAAAGAGGGATCATGTTGTATTCTATAGTTGTCAGAAGAAGAGTCACATGTTTGGAACATGTTTTATTGTTAATAAAAAAAGGAAGCATCTTATTTTAGACTTCCAGGCAAAATCTCACAGAACATGTAGGCTACAAATTAAGGGAAAGTTTTTTAACTATAGCCTTATTTGTGCACATGCCCCAAC